GTAATCCCAGCACTTGGGAGGCTGAAAACAGGAGAATCACTACAAATTGAATCTATGTAGTAAGACCCTATAGGCCCTATCCTAAATACAGAAAGAAAAAAATTATAAAAAGAAAAAGAAATATAATAGAATCCTAAAACCCGGAAGCTGAAAAAACATTACTGGGAAAATTGAAGATGATCTAAAAATATATATATGCACCATATTAATAAGTTAGGGATATTATAATCTGAAAAAGTCTGCCTAGGGGCCAGGGATATAGCTCAGCAGTATAGGTGCCTGCCTAGCAAGCACAAGGTCCTGAATTTGATCCCTGGTACTGCAAAAGAAAAGAGAAAGTCTGTCTAAATATATGTGCAGACTTAACACTAATCCTATCAATGCTATCCCTATTGAACACATCATTCCAGACAGTTTTGAAATTCCCATGCTAACTCTAATATATATGGTATGCAAAGGGCCTAGAAATAGAATAAAGTTGAATGGCATATCATATACATACACAGGTTGAAGAACAAATACAAGCTTTGGCACAAGTACTTCAATAATATCTATAACACTATAGTAAGCAAGACTAATACTGCTGACAAGGATAAATATATACATGAATGGAACAGACTAGAGATCAGAAGTAAAACCCTTACACTTTATAGTGAACTGTTTTTCAGCAGACATAAAGACAACTCAGTGAGGAAAGTAACAGTCTTTTCAACAAATGATACTAGGACAACTGGAACTCAACTACAAACAAGCAAAAAAGGATCCAGACTCTTGCCTTATACCATATAAAAAAATTAACTCAAACATGTATCACAGTCCTAAAAATTTAACAGATAAAACTATAAAATTTCTGGATGATAGAAGAAATATTACATACATTAGGCCAGTGATAGCAACCTTTTTAGAGTTTTCTCTTTTTTTAATTTTTTTTTTTTCATGTGTTTGGTACAGGGTCTCCCTACACAGTTCAGACTCATAGTAATTCTCCTGGATCAGCCTCCCCAGTGCTGGGATTACAGGCGTGCACCTCCACTCCTGGTTTCAGTGGCTGGTTCAGTGCACCTAGGGCCCAGGGGACAGCATGGTATGCAGTACTGGGGATGTAATTGGGGTCCTTGTGCTTGCCCAGCAAGTGCTTAGACCGCTGAGCTATCTCCCCAGCCCTTTTCAGAGTTTTCAGTGATAAACAGTCAGCTGTGGCACATATCCCCTAAGTTTGCCACCACTGGATTAGACAAGCATTTCATAGATCATACCCAAAGTATAAACCTGTAAGAGAAAATATTTTTGAATTAGACTGCTTAATTTTTATTCTGCAAACAACACCAACAAGAGAATTAAAAGACTAAAGACAGAAAATATTTACAGATTAGGGTTGATATTCAGAATATTAAAAAGAAAAAATACAGGGGGCACAGAGATGGCTCGGTATAATAAGCGCTTCCCTGGCAAGTGCAAGGGCCTGAGTTCAATTCCTGGTTCTGCAAAAAAAAAGAAAAAAGAAAAAATACAAAGAAAATGACCCAATTCAAAAAGATATGCATAAGCATTTTACAAGAGAAGGGACACGAATGGCTAATAAGTGCACAGAAAGGTGTTCAAAATTATGAGATATTGAAATGCAAATTCAAAATACCATGAGATACTTCTACACATCCACCAAAATTGCTGTAGTCCAAGAAACTAACAAAACCAGGTCTTGGAATGATGTGGAGAAATGGAGACCTTCAGGTATTGCTGGTAGAAATATAAAATGCTGTAGTAATATTTAAAACATATACAGTAACTTTTAAAAACATGCTGACAGATTCTTATAAATATAACTTATTAGCATAAAATTCTGCACATGGCCATTGATATATTCATACCAATATTATTCATAATAGCCAAAAATTGCTAACAGCCCAAATATCTAATAAATAACCACCAGGGGGTAAAAAGTTCTATACAACAGAACACTACTTAACAATAAAAAGAATGAATTACTTAGATATGGAATAATAGGTATGATTCTCAAAATCATTATCCTAAATAAAAGAATGAAGAAATAAAAATACAGCCTTTACATAAAATTTCCAAGAAGGCAAAATCTATGGAGGTGAAATATGTATCAGCTGTAGCTGGGGCTAGACATATGGGTTGACCGTGAACAGGCATCAAGGAACTTTTTAGGGTGAGAGAGTTCTAAATTGATATTGATGATGGCTCACAGCTGTATAATTTTCTCAAAATCATTTAACTACAGTTATGATGGATGAATTTTATGGGATGTAAATTATAACTCACTAAAGCTGTGAAACAAGGTAAGGGAAGGATATAATGAAGCACTTGTCCAGTCTGTCCTACAAACACCGTAATTCTGGGTAAAATTGTTAAGAAAAATATCTTTCTAAAAAAAATTTACCTAGTAAACTCAAAACAATAACAATACTATAAAAACAGTAATCCTATAACAGCTTGTGAAAAGCTGTCTCTCAGTGGACGCTACAGCTGCTGGCTGAGGAGGAGTTTACACTCCCTCAGGCTGACGCCACCGGGAGCCAAATGATCCATCTCGGCATCTCTAAAGACAATCTGACATTTTCTGCCACTTGATATGGGGCAATAAGTACACAGCACCAACTATCAAGGGTTCTTGCTAAATAACAAAATAAAATGACTTAATCTAATCAAAATTTTAGGTCTAACTACCACTTGCAATACAAGTGGTAAACAAGCAAAACAAAACTTGAAGGACACAATCAGCCAAACCTTTGATTTTTTTTTTTTTCACAAAGTCATAGCATTAAAAAAAAAAAGTATAGGATGGTATTATAGAGAAAAGAAACTGAGATAAATAACCACATATATAAAGTACGAGCCCCACCTTGCCTGGATCCTTCCCTTTTTTGCAATTAGAACATGTTCATTAATCTGCGCGTTGGGTTACATTATGACATCTTCATCCATGCATATAACATAATTTGATTCCGTCTACTGTTATTTCCTTTTCCTACCCTACCACTGGTCCTCTTTCTAACAGTCTCCCTTCTACTTTGATGGCATCTTTTTACCTTAGATTCTAAATACTGGAAAAAACACTTGTCTCTCTGAAGCTGGCTTATTTCACTTAACATGATGAGCTCTAGTTCCTTGATTCTGATTTTAAGAAGCCAATTATAAAAAGATATTTTGCATACAACTGAAGAACTCTGAATAATAACTGTTTAATTTTAATAAGAAACATAATTTTGTTAGATGTGATACAAGCATAGTAGTTATAAAGCTTCTGTCTTAAGGATATTGACATAAAATTTTCCCAACAATTTTTAAATGGCCAGGTGAATATATTAGCAAAAGGTCTTTCTTGAAGCTAGGTGATAGCTATATGGGCTTCATGCCACTCCCTCCAATTCCAGTGAATTTTATAAATTAGAATAGATTGGGGGGGGAAGAAAGATTATAAGGCAGGAAGGGGTAAGAAGCAAAAGAAAAAATAACCCAAAGCTCAAAGCAAGTCTGGTATAAGAACTGAAGTCTAAATAAAGCCAAGTATTTGAAAGTATTATTTAAGCAGAGAGCAAAAATGAAGTAGAAAGTGATCAGGGGGCTACTTCACATGGAGCTAGCATGTCTGAGATCCTAGGTTGGATCCCTAGCATAGCAGAGATATTGAAAATGAATAATTTCAGAAGTATATCACAAAAGTAGAACAGTAAGTAATTATACAGACCCAACAGAAAAACTGAAGTAGAAAATCAAAGAAGAAAATTGCAAATTAATAATAGCCACTAAGTATTCTTAGAGCGGTAAAACTTCAAATCAAATAGGAAGAAAAGCATTATTTTTAACAAAGAATTTCAAAATCAGTAGAATGCTATTATTTTTCTAAGATATACATTTTTTCAGATAATGAACAGGATGTTTAGGAAATATGAAAATCTATACACCCGCTGACACCAAACTGTCACTGTTGACGCACGCCAGGAAGCATGCCCTAGAGAAGTCCCTAAACCGTAACTCTGCGAAGGTACACTATGGCCTAGCCCATTTTCTTCCCATAGTCAGATCCCAGCAGGATGCCAGACTGCATGTTCCTTTTGCATTTCTACAGTTCCAGTGGGATGAGGAGCGGGGCTCTAGTGCAGGACACAGCTGCTGACAAGGATAGCCAATGCTCTCTGCTTTTTGGACCACAGTTATATATGAGACTAATCCTGAAATCCTAATTATAAGGACAAATCCCCAGTGCTTGAGTAACTTTTTCAAGAACATACTTTTACATAGCTGTCCTCACACATAGTTATATTATTTTCTATTCTTAGTACTGTATTTTACAGAATTTAATTGTATCTACAACGTTGAAATAATTTATTAACATAATGAATGCAATAAAAAATTCCAAGGCATCTGTATTTTAAGCAACCATCATTCTGATGTTTTTATTGCTCATTTGCTTGATTTGCAGTTCACTTAAAGATGTTAAACATGTTTAGTTAAAAGGTTAAAGATGTTTGCTGCACAAACTTCCAGCCAATAATAATGCTCTACCTTATATCACAAATAATCCATTCTGCTTTGACCAATAAAAAGTTTAGATAACTCTTCCTTTCTTTTAAATAGAAAATAAAATATAACGAGACATAATTCTTGGCCCCTCTGCAGCAAATAAATTCATTACTTTTACAAAACTATTAAATTCTACAAAAGTGTAGAAACAGTCCCAGACCAAGATTTTTTAAATTCTATGGAGCCTTTTAAGCTTTTCTTTAAACCCAGAGGCGTAAAGAACATAAGGACAGAAATTCTAAAATATCTTAAGATCAATAATGTAAAAGTTACTTGTGCTAATATTGTCTGGACATTATTTCATGCCTATCTATTGTACTGAGTAACTACCATGAAGATGATAATGTGCAATGTATTAATTATCATTACTCTATTAGCCTGATTTGAAAACTTTTATTTCTGTTTTTCTTCTTGTCTTTAAAATAAAGGAAAAGAAAGAAGTTAAAACTTACATTCAAGTTGTGCAACCACGTCTCCAGGGTCTACTGCTTCAGGGAACACCTAGTGGGGAGCAGACAGGGAGAATTAAGGGTGGGGAAATCCACTCCTTTCCCAACCAAGGAAACCTGTGATGTCAGTGAGAACATGCCATTTCTTTCTGCTAGTCATGATTACTAAGACAAAATGAATCAATAAATTTTACAGCTGGCTCTGCCCCCTTTGCAGACTTCATCTGCACGCTCTCTTCCCTTTCTTACCAAGACCATCTCAGCTTGGTGGTGCTCCTCAGGGTCAGCAAGCCTACTCCCAACCAGCAGTCTGTACGTTTGCTATACCTCTGCTTAGAATGCTTTTCCTTTAAGGCAACAGTGATGGGAATCTTTTAGAGACCAAGTGCCAAACTGAAACCTAAAAGTCAATTATTGCAAAGTACCAACACTGAAATTAAACCTAAATGCTAAGGTTTTAGTTTACAAAAACCAATTCATCATTAACAATTGTTGTCCTAAAGGAGAAACAACACAAGCACCAGAGGTTCTCCACCACCCGCTTTAGTTGTTTAGATTGCTGATACAATCTCATAAATTAGATTGTTTCAATGTTATTACCTGCTCTGACCACTCTTTAAAACAGATAATCCTCCTCAGCCCCTTCTTTTCATGTACTCATTAATCTCCAAGAGGGGAGGAATTTGCATAGTTTACTATCTATCCTCAGGCCTAGAACAGCCAATGGGAAAAAAACAGGTACTGGTATTTGTGCAGAGGAGTCTTCCTCCACAAAGAAGGGCGAGAGAGGGAGGGGAAAGAAGAAAGGAAAAAAGAAGGGAGGGAGGGAGGAAAACAATTAGTAGTTATCAAAAGCAACAGTTTTAGGGAAAATAAAGCTAAGAGACTTAAATATCACAAGATAGTCAAAAGTAAAACATGACAAATTCTTACTATGATTTCTTTATTTTTTGTGAAAATTATTGTTCAGAATTCAAAATGGGTAAGTTTTACTACATAAAGCCCACTAATATGATTTTATAAAAAGTTAATCCATTCAGGATAAAAACATAACTATTCTTTGATAACATAATATATATGCATTTTCAAACTTCCAGATTCAATACACAACTTTCCTTTTGAATTAAATCAAAGTACAGAGTTAGCAATAATTTCTATCATAAGATTTCAGTAAAATATGAGAACTATTTTGATTTTTGTTTTCATACTTCCTCTAATTTTCTTTCTTCTTTCTTTCTTTCCTTTCTTTTTGGGGGGAGTACTGGGAATTCAACCTACAACCTCACACTGGCCAGGCGGGCACTGTGCCACAGAACTATATCCCTGATTCTTGGTCTATATTTGAACACACCTTTTCAAACACCATTCTGGCATTGAAGACCAGTGGAAAAGTGGCTGGGACACATTGTGTCTTTTTGTATTGGCCAAACACACAGATGCTAAGATAGATGTCCTCCTTGTCTTTCAGCACCACTCCTGGACAAGTTACCTGAAAGAAATTGAACAAATAGATATAACTGCTAGATAGAGCTGATAAAATGACATCATTTTAGTAATTACTATTTTACATAAAATAGTAGTCTGTTAACCTAATAAAAATACTCAAAAATAAAAAAATATTCTAGTATTTACAGAGTCAAATGAATGCCTTTACAGTTTCCATCCCCCTGAGAAATCTGTAATTTTCCATTTGGTTATTTTTGTGTCACACTTAAAGCTCCAAATGCTGGCTCCTGGGATAGACACAAATAGTTTTAAACAATCAGCCTAAGGCTCCCACTTTATAGTGAGTGCTGACATAAAGTTATTCAATGTCATTTAATCTCAAAGGATTAGTACTCAGCAAAACTAAAACAGTATACTAGGGGACAAAAAAATGCTGATGAAAAACATATATCTGATCTCAATTACCTTAAATAGTAATCCACAGATACCCTCATTAAAAGCAGTATGTTAACTTTCAAGGATAGTGAATTGGAAGTTTCTAACCCAGTACAGTAATTTTAAAATATTAAATTGCATTTAATCATCATTATAAATTTTTTGAGACAGAATCTTGTTTTGTAGTTGGGCTTTAACTCACTATGTAGTCCAGGAGGGCCTCAGGCCCACCACAATCCTCCTGTCTCAGCTTCCTGACTGTTAGGATTACAGTCATGTACCACTATGCCTGGCTTATCATTATAATAGACAGAAAATATGGAGTTCCTCAATAATACATAGTACAATCTCTTCAGTCCCTGTCATATTCAATTGCTAATAATCAAATACACCCTTAACAGGATATTAGAAGTTCTCCAATATTTGAGTCTATTGTAACAGTATTACCAACAACTCAACTCTACTAGTATATCCAATATCCAATGAGTACTTTTATTCTTTCGGCACAAACATTACTTGCTCATGAGTGTAACTGGATCCCAGAGTTGCAGGTACAAAATGAAATGACAATGCTAAACCACAAAGGGCAAAGTGGGTGTAATTATTGTAATAAAACAGAGGTAAAGCAATGATCAGAATGACCTGGCTTACAGAGTTAACTAACTAGTTATAGTGTTCCCAGAAGTGAAAAAGATAGGAAGCTTACTAAATTTTTATGAAATGAACAAAAAAATTTACCCAAAATCAAGGTAATGGAGAACCACAGCACCACAACCAATTCCCAATCTTAAGCCAGTTTATAGATTCAGACCCACTGAATGAAGAGGAGGTTGGGTTCATATCAGGACACTAGCAAAAATCATTCCATCAGTCTTTCTCCCATCATCCCCCAAAAGGACTTAGAGTCTTTTACCACAATAACCATACCTTGGAGAAAAGGACATGATCAGAAATTTAGGGGACTACCGGGCATTGGTTTGAACTAATGCTGACTCCAGAAGACCCAAAACATCACTGTGGTCCTCTAGGAAGACTAGGGGGCCTATGGAGGTCATGTGCTCAATGAAGTGTTAGCCAAGGTCCAATTCATAGTGGGCCACTAGGTCCCTAAATCTATCTTGTAGTCATTTCCTATTATGATTTAGATCAACAACATCCTTCCAACAGTATCATATGTACAAAGATGGGGCTTCAGGAATATGGTTTTGGGGTTACTATAGCTGACTTGGTGTTGGGAAGTGGGACTGGCTAGAGATGGTACACTGGAGATATGTCCTAGAAGTGTGTACAATATTATTGTCACTGACTCCTTCCTTGTTTGCTTCCTGGCCATCATGACATGAGCAGCTTTCCTGTGACAGATCTTTCCACCATGTTCTACCTTGCAGCCAACAGATCATGAACTGAAAATATGAGCTAAAATAAACCTCTCATCCTTTAAGCTGTGTGTACAGGACATCATGTCTCAGTGATGAAGGAAGTAACTAAGTAATTTTCTTAGTTCCAGAAAACATAATTGGGATAGAAATACTTTGGACTTGGCACAACCTCTAAATGGTTCCCTAAACATCAGAGTGAGGGCTATTATGGTGGTAAAGGCCAAATGGAGCCCATAGGAATTGCCTCTACTTGACAAAATAATAAATCAAAAGTATGCCTCAAGGCACTACAGAGATTAGACACACGAAAGATGCAGTTTCTACCACATCTCCACTTAACTCTATTTGACCTGTGTAGAAGATACATGGATCTTGGAGAGTGAAGGTGGATTAAAGTAAGATTAATCAAGTGGTGACTCCATTTGTTGTGGCTACAACAGATGTGGTTTCCTTGCTTGAACAGATTAACACATCCCCTGATAGCTGCAATATAGTTAATGATTTGGCAAATGCCTTTTTCTCCATACCTCACAAGAAGCAATTTGCTTTTAGCTGCCAAGGTCAGCAATGCAACTTCACTGTCTTCCCTCAGGGGTATGTCCTACCTCCAGTCCTATATCATAACTTATTTCACAAGAATCTTGATCACCTTTCTCTTCCATGAGGTACCACACTGGTCTGCTACATTTATGACATTCTGCAGATCAGACCAAGCAAGCACCAGGTATTAATCACTCTGGCCTTATTGAGAATGAATTTATGTGTCAGAGCAGGGAAATAAATACAACTAAAAGTCAAGGGTCCTCTACTTCTGTAAAATTTCCAGCAGTCCACCAGTATGGGACATGTGGAGATATCCTTTTTGTGGTGAACAATAAGTTGTTGCATCTGGCTCCTGCTATAACCAAAATAAAAAATAAATAAATAAAAAGGACAGAAACCCAGTGAGCCTATTTGAATTCTGATGGGAACATATTCCTTCCTTTGGTGTGTTACTCTGACCCACTTGCCAAGTGATTTGGAAAGCTAGTTTTGAGTAGATCCCAGAACAAGAAAAGACTGCAACAGGCCCAGATTGCTGTTCGGGCTGCTTTGCCCATTGGGCCATATGATCCAGCAGATCCAATGGAACTTGGATCAGCAGGAGGAGAGGAGGATGTTTGGAGTTTCTGACAGGCTCCCACAGGTGAATCACAGCAGAAGCTCTTGACATTTTAAAACAAGGCCCACCATCATCTCCTATCAACTATTCTCCCTTTGAAAACAGTTTCTGGCCTCCTAAAGAGTTTTAGTGGAAAATCAATACCTAACCCTGGGATATCAAGAAAACTGAGCCACCTATCATGAACTGTGTACTGTCTGACCTACTAAGTCACAGATGCAACAGTCCTTCATTAAATGGAAGTGGTTTGAGGAAAAGCCCACTTGGGCCCCCCTCCTGTCCCTCTCTCAGATAGGAGCTTTCTTTCTCTCAATAAATATATTCTGCTCATTAAAAAAAAATGGAAGTGGTATATATGAGATCAAACCCAACAAGGTGCTGAAGATACAAGTTACATCAAGCACTAGGTCAAATGACCATGCCCCTTACTCCTGCTACCTTGCCTTTTGTCCTGGCATGCACCTATGGCCTCATGGCAAGTACCCTATGAATGGAAACAGGAAAAGAAGGCTAGAACCTGAACCACAGATGGTTCTACATATTATGCAGCATGACTGAAAAGTACGCAGCTGGAGCACTATAGTTTCATTCTGGGACATTCCTTAAGGGAAATGGTGATGGAAAATATTCACAGTGGACAGAGCTCTGGGCTTCTGCTTGTACATTTTGCTTGGGAGGAAAAAATGACCAGATAAGTGAGTACATACCAATACATAAGGTCTGGCTGGATGATCAGAGAATTGGAAGAAAGATAAATGGAAAACTGGTAACAGGACATCTGCAGAAGAGGTATGTGGGTACAACTTTGAGAATATACTAAAACCTACTGAAATTATACACTTTTTAAAAGGGTATAGTTTATCCGATGTGAATTATATTTCAATTTTAAAAGATAGGAATATGAATAAATGTAAAATTATGAAAAACATACTGTGCAAAAAAAAAAAAAAAAAACCAAACATTATATTCCTGAGAAAGCTAGATTGGCTATCTTAATATACAAAGTAGACTTCAGAAAGAAAAAGATTGTCAATAATAAAATAGAACATTTGTGACTGATAAAAAAAATTTGACTAAGACATAACAAAATTAAATGTGTAAGTGCCTAATTTTTCAGTCTCAAATGAAGCAAAAAAACTGTTACTAAATTTAAATATTTCCCTCTCAGTAACTGATTTTATTTTTTATGTATTTAGTACAGAGTCTACAGGGTCTCACTACATAGATCGGACTCATAGTGATTGTCCTGTTTTCAGCCTTCCAAGTGCTGGGATTACAGGCACGTGCCACCATGTCCAGTTTCAATCTCTGTCTCAGCGCCCCAGGAGTGGGACTGGCGCGGCATGATGGGGATCGAACCCCGGCCAATGCACTCTACCTGAGCAGGCGCTTTAGTCCGCTGAGCTGTCTGGCAGACCCAGTAACTGATTTTAATAGCAGCCAGATAATCATAAAACGTGAAAAAGATGTAAACAACATTTAGTAATTTTACCTGATATTTACAATCATTCAGCAACAGAAAGATATGTGTACTATTTACAAATGTATATGAAAATACTAAGATAGGATAATACTGTTGGTCATGAAACAAGTCTCAATAAATATGAAAAGAATAAAATCATGCAAATTATACTATCTGCCCAAGATGGAATTAAACAAACTCAGTAAAAGGAAAGGATCCAGAAAAACACAACTATTTGGAAATTAAACAACACAATCCTAAAACATTCATGAGTCAAAGAAAAAATGGTAAGACAAATTGGAAAGTATTTCCAACTACATGAAAATTAAGGGTCTATCTATATAATGAGATATAATTAAATCCCATCTAAATGGGGCACACACTATGACAAAAAAATACAATGAATATGTACTTTAAAAAAAATTGCAGTAAAGGCCACACTGTATTGCATGTCCTCAAAATACTCCCCTGGTTTCAACACATATGTCCCATCATTCCTGACACTTTTTGAACCAGTTCTCAGTCTTTCTCAGTAGCTGTCTTCAGTTGCACCATGATAGCCTTGATGACCTGAATCAACTCAAGCTATGCACTTTCCATGGTCA